GAAAAAAAAAGTAACCGTTACTTACCCGATTACTTCAGATTATTAAAACGAACCATTTTCTGTCGGTTCAAAAACTTGGCCTTCGTACTGATCATCATTGAATTAAAATAGCCGAATTACAAGCTACTTATCTTCTTAATTCACCAATTCTGGTAAAGCTTCATCGACTTGGTTCTAGGATTTCTTGGCAGGGATTTTGTAGAAACTAAGGGTGCCATTAGAAAGGGGAGGAACAAATAGTAATAATTACGTGTAATTTTATTACTTAGAAAATTGATCACATCACTATTGTGATAACTTCCTAATATATGTGTTCAAATCATTTAAAATGAGTCCCAAAACCATCGATTACAAGTAATTTGATGACATTACCATTGGCCATTGACGACTGGAACTCACTGCCTGACGTAATTGTTACCTTATCTGATACTAAGAAATTTTCTGCAGCCATTAGCTTATTTTTTCTAACCCATAACTAGATTACAGCGTGTTTTTGTAGATAAATAGTTTTGTTACTTGTTTGTTTTTTAAGTGTTCACTCCCTTGTGTAATGCCCCCTGGGCCTTCAAGGAATAATAAATGATGATGATGATGACATGTAATGAGTACCGCATAAGTATGCGATTGGTTACTGACACCTCGATCGTACGAGTCATCCTATCTTGGTCATTGTACAACGTGGGCGTGTCTTCGTGTAAACCGAAACACAACATTGCCGTTAATTCAAACACCGCACCGCGCTTCCTTTAAACCACCTTGCAGCGTACACTCGGTGTTAACATCCGACAATAGTGTTCCTCATTAAAAAAAAGTCTAAGGAGTGTTAGCGTTATAGCATTTCGTTAAGAGACTTTTACGTTGTAGGCTTTGTTGTTTGTCGTTTGAATATTATTTCTTGTAGCCCCCGATCCCCTCTGTAATATCTCCCCGCACCTCGGATAGATAAGAACCAAACAATTAAATAACCAGAGAAAATAAGACATCGCAGAAAGGGTCACTATATACCAACTCATGTTTACAAACAAAACCGGAGCGCCCCTAGCGGACGCCACCGGCGCCGCGCATGCGCGGTGGACGGTGGGCAAGAAGCTCGCCGTCGCCCATAAACAAACCATTGAATTGCGTTGTTGTCGGCGTCGGCGTGCGTCCCCGTGCTCTTTTTCACGTTCGAATTGTTGATTCTACGTCCTCCTAACAATGGGTGACTACTTGAGCGGCTTCAGCAAAATTAACGAGGCTCGTTACACCGCAAAACTTTGCGTGAATAATGTGACGTGTTGCGATTCATTTCACGTGGACGCCGCAGAATTTCGTCTCGCTATTTTCAGTCGCGACGTCGCTCGGGCTGCAAAAGCGTGGCCCGTAGCTGAGATGGTGGACGTCGATACTGAAAACCGCAAGTAAAATCGGGCATTACAAGTCGGTGACGGCCACTGTTAACAATGATCAAAATCTTCTTGTATCTACCGTTTAAACTTAGCCTACTTGCCCCAACCAACCTTCAAAAGTGTTTTGAGGCCTGCACGTACTTCTTATTGCAATTACCGGGTCAACGTTTGGTTTACGGGCCGCTGTCGTTTGAACGAGCTGACGACAAAAAGCAGACAACTTTGAAAGAGCAGACGACAGTTCGAACGGATGCGCAATGGAGTGCGGGCAAGAAGCACCGTTTCCCGCGTCCCAAACCATTGGAATGTCACGTTGTCGGCGTCTGTGTGAGTCTGCATGCTCTTTTTCGCGTTGGAATTGTCGATTCTACGTCCTCATAGCAATGTCTTACCACTTTATTCGCTTGAGCGAAATTATCAAGGATCGCTACGCCGCTAAACTTTGCGTAAATAATTTAACGTGCGGCGATTCATTTGCGTGAACGCCGCAGAATGGACGCCAAAACCATGATGAGATTTTTCTAGCCATTTTTATCGCAACGTCGCTCGTGTTGCAAAAGTGTAGAAGGTAGCGGCGATGATCGACGTCGATAGTGAAAATCGGAAGCGGGAAAAGACTAAGCGTAACAAGTCGGTGATGGCCACTGATACCAATGATCAACATCTTGTATCTACTGTTTACACCGAGCCAACTTAAGTCTTTTGTGGCCTGCAATTACTTCTTAATGCAATCACCGGGTCAAAGATTGTCTACGGGCCGCTTTTGTTTGAACGAGCAGACGACAAAAAGCAGACAAGATCGAAAGAGCAGACGAAAGTTCGAACGATCAGGCGGCCGTGTGAATTTAAAGACGCATTGAACCCGCGGGTGGTCCGGACAACTTGGCAGTTTTCTCTCGTTCATGCTGGAACACAGCAACTACATCTGGCTAGCACAAAGTGCTGCGTCTGGTTTGCCCTTGTCACGGCTACTATTCACGTTCTCGGACGATCGGAGGGGGCAGAAACACATTAAAACTGATCTTCAAACCTTTCCAGATTCTCTAGGTACAACCCCGTCGCAGCATTTTGATGAGAAGGCAGGTTTTTTGTCTGGTTTCTCCCAAAAGAACGGAGGAATACATGTCTCGCACCGCGACTTTTGCCCACCACTCCAGACCGGAAGTGCGCCCGACGCACCACCACCGTGGCGTGGCGTAGGAGGGTTGAGTTCGTGCATAGCTATGGAGCCATGGAACGCGCATCCAACTGGTGTGTTTAGCGTCCTATCTCGCCCACATACATCAGATGTGGTTCCAAAGTGGCAACAAATGACGTCACAAAAACTGGAGTGTCATGCTAGACAGCCAGTGTTGTCAACTGCTGAATCGGGGTCACGTGGTTCATGGGCCGCTTTTGCAATATACGAGTTGCGAGGAAGTGATGAACGCGTGGATCGTCTGCGAGCGACTCCGCCTTTCCGCCTGCTTTCCTCCTCGCCACTCGACAATAGCGCATGCGCACTTGCGCGACCAATCGGCGAGGAAAACGTGCGCCATTAAATTACAAAACGCTCACAATGGTTAGAGATGGACCCTAGCTCTCTTCAATCTATATGCTCTCTATGTGTCATGCTGTTCAATGTCGCGATCGTGGCGACGGTAGAAATGCCGCCGAAGAATACGAGCGAACGCAAGTGCGGTCACGGTCGTCGCGGCGTCCCAACTCCTGCCTGCCGGAAACCTCCGTGGACTGTCAAGCTTCATAGAGTGTGACCCCATGCATAAAAAGAGGCAACTGCCACATCCACCACCGCTGCTGGGACACCGCCAGGATCGCGACCGGCGACAGCGTGATACTTGTATGACATATCCAACGAAAATCGAGGGACCACCTTTTTTTTTTTTTGGAGAGAAGGGAAGCTATAGCTTTAGGTCTTCCATAGCTTCCTCTAAACTCACAAAGCCTGGCAGTTTGACGATGGAGCCATAAAATGCCCGGTCGCAAATTTGGAGCGCGAGGATCTGGTAGAGCACAGAGCATTTCTCGGGGAACCTGGACGTCAGCGCACAGCTTCTGCAGCGGCGAGGACCCGAAACACACTTGTTCGCACGGGAGAAGTGTGTTTCGGCGTCTCGCCGCAGCGGGGAGCACGTGGCTCTCCTTTCATCCGTTGTCTGCCGCTCCACCTTTTGCATTTCGGCGGCCGCTTCTCGTGGCGATCTGCCAGGCTTTGTCAGTATATAGAAGGCTTTGGGTCTAACCACTATAGTCACTCCAACCAGAGCTCGTCGTTCTGACGCTCCCGTTTGCTCTTCATCTCCTCCTCTTTCTCAGTTTCTCTGCGCGTAGACACACGCTGCCTAACAAGCGCGGGGCGTAACCTGTCATAATTACTCTGCTGGCTTCGCTTTTTGATCTTCGGCGTTCTCATCACACCAGACTCTCATTGGAGAGCGATAATAATATGCTCGGGCTTGGCCACACCCTACGTTTCTTACGCTCTCAGTGAATGGCTCACTATTAGTAACTGACACTCTAAGAGCGCAGAGAGTGGCTTAGCTATATCTTAAAAATCCTCACTTCTTGATAAGTTTCTTTTCGGCGTTCTTATTGACGATTTTCGATATCGTATTGGCTGTTGTGCGATAATAGAGAGTTTTAGGGAACCGTCTTTGCACATCCGATACTGTACGACGGTCTTACCGATACGAACTGCGCATATGTGAGTCTTTTGCTGTAGCGCATGCGCAGTTCATACCGGAGTGCCCATCGTACTTTATCGGATGTGCCAAAACGGTTCCCTGAAACTCCCTAATGAGATGCTCGCAGCCCGCCACGCCATACGTTTTGTATGCTGTCCCATAGAGCGAGGATGTTAAGATACACCATTCCCGACATGACGTCATGCTCAACTACGCGAGAAGAAAATAAAATAAAAAGAAAGCAGTTACATCTTAAATTGCCTTGCGCACCGACGCTGCCCTCAACGTCTTCTCGACGCTCGGTCGGGTACGTTAGGCTTAGGCTACGTCTACTTCGTGCCTGTGGTCTGCTTCGTCTGCCAGCTGTTACGGTTGGCTTTCGATACGACCGGTGTATCCTAAGAATTTTCGCTGCGCACGCTGAAGTCACAGCAGGACGGAAAGCAACGAACGAAGGCTGGAAGCGGAGCTTTTATAACTGCATTCTCAACCCGGTGTCATTCTGTGTTTGTGCGTACGACATCTGATATGCTCGCTTTCCAAAGCCCCGTTATGGCGACTCGCCCCAGACATTGTTTCCAGAGCGCTGTCCAGAGCATCCGCCCGAACGATTCAGTGGACTTCGCCAGGTAAATATGGGTCAAACAACTGCGTTACCACGGCAATGCCAAGGTAACGCGAATATTTACAGCATATTTACATGGCGGCGCCCATTAACTGAGTTTGCTATTGACAGAGAGAGTCTCAGGGGGCATTTCGTGGCCTCGCCTACTTCCGATACACTTAGCTCCATATACGGAGAATACGGACGACACCACCTTGCCCATCGCAATGGTCACCACTGATCTGGATGTTGTAATCATGAACAATGGACGATTGAATCGAATTTAACAGGTTTGCTTTCCCCCTCCTTCTTTTCTAATGTCAGAACGGAAACGTGGGTGACGCGTGTCGGAACAACGACCACTGCAAGAAGAACCTGTGCTGCCTGGCGTCCAGCTGCCAGCCACGGTCACCGCCTGGCCATCCGTGCAGCGACGAGCAGATAAAGGGCGGGACCTACGTCAAGCACTGCCCCTGCCTCTCAGGAGACGGTGCGTATTGCTTGTCGCAAGCCTGTTGGGAATACCATCTCACTCCGCGAAAATTCAATGGCCTTGGCTTCGATAGCTCCGTCAGCTTTCGGATAGTTGGAACGGCTGGACACGCAAAGTCTCGGGGTTTTTCCCTTTGAATTGGGATGGGAAGCTGCCGCCATCTATCGTCGTGAAAACCCCTTGAGACAGCGGAGACAGCCGTCTCTGCTGATTTTGCGAATCCGGTATCTCTGTGCGTCGGCAGCAGCACAAAAGCGACAGCGTCGACAGTGCGATGCACATGCGTGCTCTCGAATGAAGAGTTTACCCCGCTGCTCGGGGAGGATTTGGCGCTGTCGCGCTGTCTAATACGATTGAGCGGAGAGTAAAATGTATTTACCGAGTAAAATATTTCCTCGCCTTTTGCTTGCTTGTACTGCGACAGCTGGTAATGGCGGGGTTTGGCAACGGATCATCGTGTGTGTTTCGTGTAGGATGGTCATTTCACGTGACGTCGCAATGTCACGTGATACCATGGTGTCACGTGTCGTTGCGTTGGTAAGCGCGCCAACTGTCGTCACAGTTTGTAACTCTCGCTACAGTTACTCTCGGGGGTAGAATTACTCTCGAGCTGAAGGCCAGTGTCCAGCATTGCGTTAGACACTGGGCTTCGTGTCCAACGTCACGTGACATCATAACGTCACGTGACATCATAACGTCACGTGACATTACACTGTCTCGTGACCACGTGACGGGGCGTCGCGTGGTACCATGAAATTTTGTGATAATTTTCCCGGCTAAATAGCGGGAAGAAACATTTCCCGCCAATTGTTTAGCGGTGTCGTGTTATAAAAACGGAATCACGTCAACATGTCAAAATTACGAGACATTAAATTGCGAAGCATCCTTCGATATTACAGTTTACAGAGCTTCCATATCGATATATTACACGCGAAGAATGTTATTACACCTCAAACTTTTCTCATTCAGTTACAGTAAGTTGCAGTTTCTTAATATAAAATACAGACGATGACACGCGTTCACGAATAGATTAACGTGCATTTCCCGGCATGTGCCGTTGGAAATGCCGCGTAAAAGACCGAAAAAGCGCCAGATGTTAGTGTGTCAGTGTAGTGTATGTAGTGTAGTTGAATGTAAGATGAAGGAACGCCGATTCAGTTGTACGCCTTTTTCATCGTCTTCTTCCTTTTTCATCTCATTTCTGCTTCGTCTTTCTTTTCTTTAAACACTACATTTCCCCCGTTTTTTAAAGGAAATGCACATACTAAAACAACCAAAGCAGAAAAGAAGCATCTAAATAAACAAAGTTGTCGAGTCAACGAAAACCCGAGTGCCTATAATGGCAATGTTCATGTCACATAACTTCCTAGTCATTCCGGAGGTTTTCGTTGTCTGCAACTCCTGCGAAGAGGTTGGAGTTGAAGTTCTTGTCGGTGGGTGTCTGTACCATTTGACAATGATCTCGATTCCGGTCGGTCTCCCGCCGGGGAAAACTCGTGTGACTGGGGCGTGTTTGGTGGAGGATTCCACGAAGTGGCAGGTGACAGCCCGTTGTCTGTCCCCGAAGTAAGTCGTGGCAGGACTTCTTGTGGTAGTTTTGAGAGTTTGCTTGCATTCCACACCTTGTAATCGTCGAGCACGAATGCATTCGATCCTCGACGCTCCAGTATCTTGCGTGGCTTGGAGTATCTCAAACTCCCCTTGGCGTGATGACCTGGCAACTTCACGCGAACGAAATCGCCTGGCAGAAAAGCTGGCGTACGTGCGCCTCTCTTCTGGTCTACGTACTCTTGAGCAGCAAGCTGCTGTCTTCTAATTCGCTCTCTCAGCTCCGTCATTGCTCCGGTCGGTTCCGTGAAAAAGATTTCTGATGGCCATCCGACGACATTCAGCTTGGTCCGCGGATGCCGATTGTGCAACAGGAATGCGGGCGACACACCCGTAGTTGAGTGTGGTGTTGCACGGTATACTCCGACATATTCGGTCAGTGTTTCTTCGAGGTTTCGTTGTTCAAGGAGAGCCAGCTGAATAAACCCCTTCAGCACTCGGTTAAATCTTTCAATCATACCATTTGACTGTGGGTAGTAAACGGATGAGAACGTATGTCGAATGCCACGTTCCCGTAAAAATTCTTCGAATTCTGCCGATGTAAATTGGCTTCCGTGGTCTGAGACGATTTCTGTCGGATATCCTTCACGGCTGAAAAGCGTCTGCAGGGATGCAGTCACTGTTTCGCTGGTTACCGTGCTAGCCAAAACAATTTCAGGCCAGCGACTGTAATAGTCCATGACGGTGACCACGAAACGATGTCGTTGGGGTGCTTTTTCGATGGGACCAACGATATCGATGCCCAGCTTCTCCCAGGGACGTGCGGGAAGCGGTATTGGTTGTAGTGGAGCAGGAAAAGTCTTTGCAGACTTATCAGCTGTCTGGCAGGTCAGGCAACCACGAACAGCGTGTTCCGCTGCTGCATCCATGGCTGGCCACCAGTACCACTCTCTCAATCGTTGCTTGGTTCGGACGATTCCCAAGTGTGAATCATGAGCCAGGGCGATGATTTTAGTAGTCATTACAGTTGGAACTACGATTCTCTCGCCACGTAGGAGCAATCCATCGACCTCTGACAGCTCGGATCTCACTTGGTAGTAGGGTAACACTTCAGTAGTTACCTTGGTCTTAGATGGCCAGGTTGTAACGACGAAATGCTTGATTTTTTTAAGTACCGAGTCAGCGGCTGTAGCAGACTGCAGGTCGTTCTTCGAAATGGGTTGTTCAGTTATGACGGAGATAACTTCCTCTTCAATCAGGTCAGGAGACGCATCAGGTAATGGTAGTCGGGAAAGTGCATCTGCGATGACGTTGTCTTCGCCCTTCTTGTAGTGCACTACAAAGTTATAGTTGAGCAGACGTGCTGTCCATCGAGCGATTCTGAGCGGACGGTGACCCGTGCCTTGAGAGCTCAGTAGGGTGGTAAGTGCTTGGTGGTCTGTGCAGAGGGTGAATGGTCTTCCCCAGAGATACACGTGCCAATGCTCTAGTGCCCAAACGCATGCGAGGGCTTCCCGTTCCCCAACAGAGTATTCAGATGCCTGAATGGCCGCAGTGAGCGAGTCAAAGAGATGTTAGAATAAGAAGCGCGAGGCTGCAAGTGCACTGCAGAAAGGTTTGAATTTGGGCTCTTTGGTTGGACATGTTTTGGGCTTGTTTAATGGAAGAGAAATTCAGGGCAGCATGCTCGCGCTTATAGGCTCAGCTGCGCTCGCACGGTGAAACCAAATACTTTACTGGTAAAGTATTTGGTGAAACAAAACTTACCTTCTGCATGTGTGCAATGCCTCAGTTCTCACGTGACTACACACTTGTTTATCATTATTGTTTTCGTTTGCCACTGCGATTGAGCTTGTGATCTTTTGTATGCGACATGCATTAGAGACCAAAGTAACCTAGGAAAAACATATTTCGTGGATTGCAAAAGAACCCATGCTACTTGCCACGTGTGCCAGAATCAAGATAGAATAGTCTAAACTTCACATGGGGTTGCTTGCGTGGGTAAACCATGTTGTTTGTCAAGAACAACGGCGATTGTATGAATGCGTGGAAAAGAGTCGTTGTCAGCGCGCGACCCTTGGCATGCAGTGAATACTGGCAATCGGCGCCAAGGTGATCGGTAGCTGTCAGCGGGTGGAGTTTTTTTTATCCACCCAGAGGTTTAATATTTTCTTCTGTTGTAAAAGTCAGGACTAATTCTAAAGGTAATAAATTACTATGAACAGTCAAACATTACTGCCTCAGCAGTATATGTGTACCAAGTTTAGCTTTCGATGCGCACTTAACTTTCGATACGATCAGCGCTAGTGTAAAATGCAGCTCTGTTTCAGTCTTAATCAGCCTGCGATGTGCGCACTTGCACCATATTTTATACAACCTCACACTCTACCCTTTGAATATTTTTAATTTTTGCGCGCCACTGCTTGCGAGAAAAGATCACTAAATTAAGTAATTACCAAATTACCTAAATTCTGTGAAAAAGCTATCCACAGACCCATAATCTTTGCCTGGCCAGTCAATGCATTTATCACTTAACTCACATTAAATTTGAATATAATCAGTTTATGCTGTGAGTGATTTTTTAACCATAAAAATATTTATTTAAGCGTCCTACTCCTACTTTGGGTTTATCAAATTCAGTATCTACACTTGGGTGTGATTTCTTGTGTTTTCCCATCTCGTATGGTTTTGGTCAAAATAAATATCCATTTACTTAAATAAGACAACAGACTACAGAAAAGCAGTTTATATGTTCTAATTTGTGAGGTATTTCACTCCTCAACCTAGAATTTTGGAAACTGATGTTTATTACGGTATCACGTTGTCTTTGAAATCCATAAAGAGCGTCCCGGCCGAGGTGCCCGCAATCTGACGGAGGCATATTGCGGAGAAGGCGCCGTGTAGCCGAGCTTTCGGTTGCACGTCAAAAGATCCCCAGGTGGTCGAAATTAATCCTCAGTCCTCCGCTGGGGCGTGCCAGATGCCCGTCGCAGGTTTGGCACGTAAAACCCCCGAATTTGACATTTTTTTGCGAAAGACATGCACGACAAAAGGGCGGCCCGTCGTATGAATCTTATCACATTCAAATACTGTGTGGGATCGGCCTCCGAAATCCCTAGTGTAGTAATCACACGCATGCCATTTTATATTTTTACTTGCGTCGGTTGTTTTGTCAGGCCATTAGCTCATGACGATTTGCGTTTTGTTCTAACCCTATTTGCTCGAGACGTGAACTCGGAGCGTAGGCAACTGGCCCCCACATGAGAACTGGCGCAGCCGTGCGCGTTCTACAGAAAGCCCGCGCAGAGAAAAACAAGCAAAGGGCCAAGGATGTCACTTATAAGGCCGGTTCAGACACTTGCGTTTGAGTGTGTTTGACTGCGTTGCGTCGAGTGCGGAAAGCTAGTCACCGGCACATCTGTGCTTCGTATGAAGCGTGGAATCCGATC